CACTGGAGAGAAGGGGGCCCTGGTCGTTCTCCGCCCAGCCCCCACCCACCCCAAATCTGGAAGCAGCCCTGAACGGAAGTGTATGAAGACAGGCTGTGGTTACTCAGCAGCAGAGGTCATTTCGGGGGGGAACGCGGGGGAACGCAGTTCCCCCGGGTGAGGTGCAGGGGGCGGGGCACATGACGAAGCCCCGCCCCCTGCTTCCGGCCGCCCCGCTTCCAGCCCTCATTCAGCCAGGAGGAGGCAGGAGAAGAGGGAGGATAAGTCGTTTCCTCCCCGCCTCTCCCCACCCCTGCCTGCCTGGGGCCAGGGGGGGCCTTGGCGGGGCTTCCTCGCACTCCCGCTGGCCTTGCTGGTCCACCGCCGGGCCCCTGATGTCAGGGGGTGTGGCATATGCTAATGAGTTATGCTAATGAGTCCCCCTAGCTCTTTTTCTACGAAATGACCCCTGTGCAATACCATAGAGTCCACCCTTCAAAAGACTCATTTTCTTCAGGGGAACTGTTCTCTGTTGTCTGAGGATCAGTTGTGATTCCTGGGAGATCCCCAGGCCCCATGTGGCGATTGGCAGTCCTTCCACAACACAATCTTAACAGTGGGCACAGAAAAACCCTCAGGAGTACAAGAGGTGTTATAAGTACAAAGAGGAGTCCCTGTTTCTTCCTGTGAAATGGAAGAGGGTATGGATTAAGGGCATGAAAATGTATGCCGTGATAAAACTGATAGTCTTCTTTGCATTGTTACAGTGATGATGATGATGAAGAAGAACTGGATTTATAACCCCCCCTTCACTTGGAGTCTCAGAGCGGCTTACAAACTCCTTTCCCTTCCTCTCCCCACAACAGACATGCTGTGAAGTAGATGGGACTGAGAGAGCTCTCTCCACAACTGCCCTTGAGAGAAGAGCTCTGAGAGAACTTGTGACTGACCCAAGGTCTCTCCAGCAGCTGCACCTATCACATTGTTATCATTTATTTAGTTATCTATACCCCACTATTCTCTCCAGTGAGGATCCAAAGCAACTTACAAAATGGCTCTCTCCTCCTCCATTCTGTCCTCACAACCCTGTGAGGTAGGTTGGATTCAAAGAGAGAGTATGACTGGCCCAAGGTTACCCATGAGCTCCCATAGTAGAGTCAGGATTTCAAGATGAGTCTCCCAGAATTTAGCCTGACACCCTAAAAACACTGCGCCATGCTGTCTCTGATTTTTAATCCCCCTCTTCATACAAGTAGTTGAAGGCCGCTGACATGGTTCTCTCTTCTTATTTTATCAGCCTAATAACAACCCTGTGACGTGGGCTAGGTTGAGAATAGAGAGGACTGAAACCCCGGCAGCACATAACAACTCTGCACCTTGACTCCAGTTTGAATTGGGGTCCTGAGGGGACTCAATTTACGCTGAAAAAAAATGACTGGGAGAGTTCAGTCGTAACACTCCAATAATCTTACCCAGTTAAACCCTTAAACTGGTATAAAACTTGGGGGTTTGCAGTGTAGGGTGTATTCTTCACAGGCCCGTAGCCACATTGGGGCATTTAGGGTCGGTGCCCCCTCGCTCATGGCCCATGCCCCCACAACTCCCGCAGTGGGGGTTGTGCCAGCAGGTAAGGAAAGACTCTTCTCTTCTTCACCTGCCGGCCAATTGGCGCTCTCTCTCTCTCTCCCCCCTGCTCCCCACCCCCACCCCGATTTCCCAGCGCCCCACCACCCAAAATTTTCTGGCTACGCCCCTGATTCTTTATTGTGTCAGGGTTCCCAATAGCACAGTGCAGTTAAGCTCTCCTTTTATGTTTACGTTATGGATGAAGAAGAGAGGTGGGTCTGGTCACAGCCCCCCCCCCCCCAATTTCTCTTAATTGGGGAGGGGGGGAGCTGGCTGTTTCAGAAATATTCCGCATCCCTTTAGTTTATTTTGAGAGAATTAAGTTGTCAAACCCTTTTATTTAGAATATACAGGGAGAATTCCACCCAGCTGCCCAGCCAAAAAGAATCCAGTTCTCACCTCTCAGCATTCTTGTTTGTTGATTATTTATATCTTGCCTTTCTCCCCGACTGGGACCCAAAGCAGCATATATAGTCTGCCTGTTGTCCATTTTATTAGCACAACAACCCTGTGAGGTAGGTTAGGCTGAAGGAATCTGCCTAAGGTCACCCAGGAAGCTTCCGTTATACTCCTAGTCTGATACTCTAGCCACTGCACCCCACCCCACTTTTCTCTGCAACAGGGACCCAAAACAACTTGCAACATGGTTCTCCCCTCCTCCATTTTATCCTCACAACAACCCTGTGAGGTAGGTTAGACTGAGAGAGAATGATTGGTCCAAAGCAACCCAGTTAGCTTCCCCCAGCAGACTAGGGATTCAAACCTGGATCTCCCAGATCCCAGTCTGACACGCTATACCACATCAGCAAAGGTGAGGAGAGATTATGGAAAAGTACCTAGCATCGTTTTAAAAAAATTATTAAAATTAACTGCTTTTCTAGGCCCTCTTCCTTTTTAAAAAATAACTTTTTATTTGTATTTTTCAACTTCTTCAACATATACATTTAATTGAACAATTTTATACTAACATTGTTGATAAGTAGGCCTATATAACAGTTTCATGTGAAACATTTAACAATATAAATAGTTAAAGTGTACAAACTGTATAACGGGTTGATGGAACTTACTAAATAAATGAAACATTTTGGTATCTAATAGCACTAATCTATATAACTGCTAAATTTCCTATAACATGACAGCAGTATATCCAAAACAGTGCCAAAAAAACCCAGTAGTTAACTGGAGTAGTTATTTCTGAGACAGATCTGTTGGCTGTGTAATCCAAAAAAGGAAGCTTATAACAATATAAGTGTACAAACTGGATAATGGGTTGATGTAACTTACTAAATAAATGAAACATTTTGGTATCTAATAGCACTAATCTATATAACTGCTAAATTTCCTATAACATGACAGCAGTATATCCAAAACAGTGCCAAAAAAACCCAGTAGTTAACTGGAGTAGTTATTTCTGAGACAGATCTGTTAGTCGTGTAATCCAAAAAAGGAAGCTTATAACAATATAAATAAATAGTTAAAAGTGTACAAACTGAGTATTGGGTTGATGTAGTAACTTACTAAATAAATGAAACATTTTGGTATCTAATAACACTAATCTATATAACTGCTAAATTTCCTATAACATGACAGTAATATATTCAAAACAGTGCCAAAAAAACCTATAGTTAACTGGAGTCGTTCTTTCTGAGACACAGATCTGTTGGTCAAGTAATCCAAAAAAGGAAGCCATTGTTTGAGAAATATAGAATAGTAGAGAAGGTGGATCTAAGGATTTAAGTTGGTCTGATATTTTCTCCATGTTTAAAAAAATCCCATAGTTTTCTTTTGCCATTGTGAAATCAATGGCAAGTCCTTTTTTCCCCGCTTGGAGGCAAGAAAGTCTTTGGCCACCACCAGTAAAATAAAGATTACTGTATTTTTCGGACCATAAGACGCACCTGACCTTAAGACGCACCTAGTTTTTAAAGGAGGAAAACAGGGGAAAAAATATTCTGAACCTTCGGTCCATAAGACGCACTCACTTTTCCTCCCACTTTTTTTGGAAGAAAAAGTGAGTCTTATGGTCCAAAAAATACGGTAACTCTTTTCTGACATCTGGGACCTACAGGTCTTTCCCATAGATTCTAAAGTATTGTTTCAGGGCACATAAGAATAGTCTTAATTTGATCAATTATTCCCCCTCCCCGAAAGCATTTAATAGGCCCTCTTCCTAATCTTCCTAAACTTGCCGGTCCACAGCCGCTGACCCTCACCTGCATTCACATGCGCTGTGCTCCACAAAAGACATCTGACCTAGGTGGCTGCGTGGGAATCGGGTCTTCATCACCTAGGCAACAAGGGGAAAGAAGATGAGAATCGCCTTCCTGGATCACACCAGCTGGGCCTTATAACACGGTGCCTTCTGCCCCCCACGGTGACCAACCATTGTCCATATCCCACATCTCTTATTCAGAGGTAGACTGCCTCTGAACACAGAGGTTCCATCCAGCTATCATGGCTAATAGCTGGGCATGGTGCTGTCTAGTTTCCCTTTCGGATAAACCTAAGACGACTCCTGTGGGTTTAGACCAAAGGCCCAACATCCTGTATCAACAGACCAACTAATGATGGGCTCTCCTTCTTTGGAGGTTTTCGAACAGAGGCTAGAGGGCCATCTGTCAGCAATGCTGATTCTGTGAACTTATCATGAGAGGGAGGGCAGGAAGGGTCGCCTCAGTGCTTAGTTCTTGTGGCCCTTTCTTACATGCCCAGGGAAATGCTGATCACCACTTTGGGATCAGGAAGCAATTTTCCTCCAAGCCAGTTTAGCTGAGGATCCTGGAGGTTTTTTGTCATCTTCTGGGTGTGGAACAGGGGTCACTGGGGGTGTGTGGGGGGGGAGGTATTTGTGAATTCCCTGCATTGTTCAGGGGGTTGGACTAGATGACCTTGGAGATCCCTTCCAACACTGATTCTAATGTTTCCAGGGAGTTTAGAAGCTGAACGTGCCAGCGATGCTCTGGTTTTCACCCAGCATCTGATATACAAAGGTAAGTTGCCTCTGTAGCTGGAGGCTCCATTCCTGGCTAATAGTAATTGATAGACATGTATTCCACTGATTTGTCCAATCTGGTTTTGAGATCCATTTAAACCTTCACTGCACCTCTTCCTGATATGAGTCCAGAAGCACTTTAAAGACCAGCAGCTTTTCAGCTTTTGAGAGCCAAAGCACCCTTCATCAGATACAAGTAGGGTTGCCAACTCCAGGTTAAAAAATCCCTGGATATTTTACGGGTGGAGACTGGGAGGGGTGGAGTAGGGGAGGGACCTCAGTGCCATATAATGCCGGAGATTCCACCCCCCAAAGCAGCCATTTCCCCGGGGTAATTGTCATCTGGAGATCAGTTGGGAGCTGGCAACCCTCGATACAAGTCTTGTCTCTGACAAAGGGATCTCTGACTCTTGGAAGCTTATACCCCGGAAATCGTGTTGATCTTTAAGGTGCTGCTAGACTCAAATACGGCCACCCACCTGAATCTTATCCTCCAAATTGTTTCTTATGTTTTGCACCCTATTCTCATTCTCTCCAGCGCACCCATTATCTCTGGCCTGGCCAACTAAAGGGAGTGGCTATTATTATAAACAATTGAATGGGACCTGCATTTGCTACCTTTGCCAAAGGCACAACCCTTTCGGCTTAAAAATCAAAGGGTGTGTGTTTGCGTGACGGCCTCGTCTTTTGTTGAAACACATCTTTCAGTGGTAGGGCGACTGATTCACACACAGAAGGGCCAAACTCTGATTTGCTGGCACCTCCAGCCAAAGGGCCTCGCCTGCTGGGAAAGACCTTTCTCTGCCTGAGGTCCTGGAGGAGCCTATCAGACAGCAGCACTGAGCTAGGCCAGGGATCCCCAGCCCTTTTGAGCCTGTGGGCACCTTTGGAATTCCGACCCGGCATGGCGGGCGGAGCTACAAAATGGCTGCTGGAGGAGGTGGAACCAGCCACAATTTCCCCTCCATAGCTTTACTTCAGCCACACGGTGAAGATGTGTGTGCTGCAGCTGCAGCTGCCACCAAAGCAACAGTTTTAAAAATCTGCACAGCCATTCAAATCTCCAGTAGCCATTCAGAAACCTTGCTGGGAAGAAGAAGAAGAAGAAGAAGAAGAAGAAGAAGAAGAAGAAGAAGATGAAGAAGAAGAAGAAGAAGAAGAAGAAGAAGA